GGGGCACCCAAGACCAATATTACATCTAGTAAAAAGGGGCATAATAGGTGCCCTTTAAAGGGACTTTGTGCTGATACAGAACAGCATACGTTGTTTAAGTATGTGATACTCTCCAAAATGGCACCAGGGTGACGCGGAGGAGACAAATTGTTAAATAAAATGTCGTTATGTTGTTTTCTTTGCACACAAAAATTATTCTCGTAGCTTTGTAAAATTATGGTTGAACCCTTGATGTCACATGGATTATTTTAACGATGTCCTTGCTACGTTTCTGAGCCTTGCTCGTGTAAGGATCCTTGCTGTCTATGGAGGGTTAGAGAGCTATCGGATTTAATCGAAAATATCTTAATTTGTGTTACGAAGATGAACGGGAGGTCTTACAGGTTTAGAACGACATGAGGATGCGTACTTAATGACTGAATTTTAATTTTGGGGTGAACTAGCCCTTTAATGGACACGGCACAGGAATATGGAGGGAAGTTCTCTGCCAAGTTCAGAGCTGTCTCGAGTTAGGCCGGGCATATAAAATAGTGTCCGGCGGGAGAAACGTGAACTACAAGATGGTGTAGATGTTTTTCTCTTAAATCAAGAACACGGACAGTGACAGATTTTGAAATTTTATTCTTGCAAGAAGGTCAGATAGACAGCAGTGAGCTCCACCACGTGTGACAAAAATCTGTGAGCATACTTCTCTGCTTTTATACCCTTTAACCTATTGTTTTCAATAGCTATGTTTCACTCGTCACGTAGTGTCTTCCCGAACATCTCATGATACCCTGTTTCTCCTAAGCAAACGAGAACAAGCAGGTCATCATGATATCGTCTCATATTCAGGCTGAAGCAGGTCTCACACATAACCACTCTTATAGCTGTTCATAATATGAAAGATACATTACAATGAATATATGGAATAAATATGAATAACATGAGATTCATTGAAATTGCTCATACAAAGAGCAGCTGAAACCACTTCAGACCGACTGAGTTATGGTCAAGATCATGTGACAGTCACATTTCACAGCAAGATCAAAACCTTTCTAATGTTTGGCATTATTTTCATGACAGTTAAACAAGTATGTGACTTTTTTATAAATATTTATTAAATCATGGAATTTCAATATTAAGAATCAGAAATCATTTCATACTTGTAATTATAGGACCAGATCTTCTTCTAAATTATTTTTAATTGTGCCTAGAGCATATTTTGAGTTTGGCAAAACTGCCTTTTCCTTTTCTGCTCCTAGGTTATGGTATGTCTTTAAATATACTAAGAAATCTTGCATGTTTTGTGTAGATTTATATCTCAGTGGGATTATTCCTGGTAAATTAAGGATATGTAAATTGAGAAATACAACAACAACCTAAAGATAAACTAAAGAAAAATTATCTCACCAAAATAATATATTGATATAAAATTGATATATAATATTGTATCACATGAGGATTTAGGGTAAATCATGATCAATTATCATAATAAAAACATGTAACAAAGTAAAAATCTTACCTGTCCTGAAGTAGACTTAATTTTTATTTGTAATTGTACTTTTTTTTTTTTTTTTTGATTTTGTGTTGAAGTATGACCCAGAGAAATAAAACACAACACTGTGAGCTGTTTGATGTGAATGAAGGAGCTCATATGGTGTTTATGGGTCTGCAGTGAGTGGTGTGGTGTGTGTGTGTGTGTGTGTGTACCTGGTAGTCACCACATTATGAGGACCAAATGTCCTCACAAATATAGTGATACCAGTAAATTTTAACCTTGTTGGGACATTTTTGGTCGCCATGAGGAAACAAGCTTATGAATCACATAGAATGAAGTGCTTTGAAAATCTTTAAAAAATCAGAAAGTTTTCTGTAAGGGGTAGGTTTAGGTGTAGGGTTAGAGTAAGGGATAGAAAACGCACTTTGTACAGTAGAAAAACCCTTACACCTGTGGAATGTCCCCATAAAAAAAGGAAATCTGTGTGTGTGTCCCTCAGTATCTGTACACGTGGGAAGTGCTGATCCAGGAGGATGAGAACACCCAGGCCGGGAATCTCTTCAGGAAGGACTCGAGTGGCTCTGAGCGTCCGTCTGAACCAGATAAATAATGAGCGGATATGGCCAGAGAGATCAAGCCCTCCTCAGGAGACACGTCTGAGGACCTGAGCATCTGAAGACCAGAAAACACAATAAACGCTGTGATGCTCCTCAGGTTAAATATGTGGTTGTGGAGCTCAAACTCACCAAGATCTCAATCCAGAAGGTCCAGGCCGGAGCGTCGAGACCATGAGAGTAAAATATGAAACTCTCTCCGCTGCGGCGCAGCATCCCGCCGCCGAACGACCAGCCGCTCAGAGACGCTCCAGCGTGAGGACTCAGATACAGAGACATGTGACTCGGACCTGAGCGAGAACAACAGATGTTCAACACCATTAATAAACACAGAGAGTGCGCTTGTGACTCTGAACTAAACGAGTCAAACACACTGACTGGATATTACTGAATGCTGCTGATTACTTCATTCTCTTCTCTAAAACCAAGACAAATATTTGTGTAGACGGACAGACAGACAGACTGTGACAGTCTCATTCAGTTTGGACTTTGCTTCAGTTT